TCGAATTTCTATCGGTGTTTGGCTGAATTTGATGATATTTTTTTTTTTGTTTTTTTTATTGATTTTTTTTATTGAGTATTAATACAGTCTGCCACACTGAAGGGCATTCATTGGTACTAGGGCTATAGTATTCATTCACACAATATGTACATACAAATAATAACTAAAAATAGAGATAATTAAAAAAAATTAAATTTATTCTTATCATGGCAGGTTCTAATAAATGTTTTAAGAAAACAAAATAGGAGTATGTAGACACTCTTCTACCAAATAGCAGTGTGGGGATCCCTTTGACAGAGCTTGATATCTAGGAATCTTTGTCTTGAATCATCCGTTCTCTCCTTCCCTTTTTCGTAAAAGTCCTTCCCGAATGTGTCTTCCTTGCTCTTCCAGCTTTCCTTCATATGCGACGTTCGTCAATTTTTTTTCAATCATTCCAGCAACATGACAAAACCATCTCAAGATAAAGTAATATACAAGATAAGTAAAATAACATATTAAAGATGAATGATAATAAAATAAATGGAACACATTCACACCTATGTACAATATTTACATTGTCCCAGGGGACTCTGAATCAAGCTTTGTTCGCCAAATTCCAGGAGTAATTTGATGATAGCGAAAAAAAAAAACGCTGCAAATTATTTCACAATGGTTTATTATTTCCAAACAACTATGTATCTTAAGTAACATTACCTTCCTAGTTACAAAGAAAAATAAATAAAAGGTGATTCCAATTATTGGACTATACTTTTATTTTTAATCATTAGTAATATGCGAAAAGAAAAATAGCATTACTTCAGTAACATATTCGAAATATAAAACCAAACAAAGGGTATAAGATTTGGAGTATAACATATAAAAACAAACTGGAGATCATATTTTTGCTCCTAATTGTCCGGTTTTGAAGATTTTTTGTTTTTTTAGGAAATTCCGTAAACTTTTGAAAAACCCTGTAGGAAATTTAAATACCTTTAAAACATCTTATCACAATACCTACAAAGAAGTGTATACTTTTTGAGTTATTCAGAATTAAATTTTAATATCCCTCGTAACTTTTTTTCCAGCTTCTTTTCGTTGAAGTATGTTATATAGATAAATTTAAAGGGCGTGAAGAAAATGACTTTAGCGAAGATTAATTGAAATCTGTACATTCGTTTAGGGGCTACAGTCTATAGCAACGCAGGTTTTTCGTCCGCCATTTCGAAAGTAAAAAGCGGATAGTAATGTCGATAAAGGAGGATCTTCCACGGGTGACTTGTGAATTTATATTCAAATTTGAAAGAAATCGGTCCAGTAGTTTCGGAGAAAATTACGACGGACGGACAAAATAATTTTTATTTGTTTTTTGAATTCTGCGCATCCTGAAACGTGAAACATCAAATTTTAAGAGAGGGTTAAGTTTTTGAATTTTTTGGTCAATCACAATGGTTGATTATTGAAAATTATAAACCAAAAACGAAACAATTGCACCAAAAATCCGACCTCTAGTTATAACCTATTATATTTTCGATTTTTTTTTTAAATACTCATTTTCCAAATATGGTAGGGTTTGGCGAGGAGGAGGGCCTGGAATATTGGAGAAAGGGGGGTTATCTCGGAGCGAGAGCTTTGTCCACTATCTGGGCCAGCTAGGACCCCTCTTATCGGCTCACCTTTACAATAAGTCTTCCTTAGGCCACCTACTCCCTATCTCCTCCTTCCCTTTCTGAGTCGTCTTCTTTCCACAAGGGTCTTATGAAACAAACTCCCTGCTCCAGAATATATTGTAAAAATTGGTCAAATTGTAAATATTATTGTCACATTTTACTATTTTTCATAGCGATAAATACCAGATTAAATCAAAAGTTTTAAATGTTAATACTAATGGAAGATTTTGTTAAGGCTGCTCTAGCGGGGTTGGGTTTAGACCTAGCCCAGTGGATGGACGAATGTGGACATCGATTGATAGTATCGGCATCGAACCTTCGGGTTCGCTAAGCCTTATTATTAATGAATGTTCCACTGAACGAATATGGGTGGATAGAAAAATTCACCTTGTATTCAAGTGAATCTTAGGCCCTCACCACAGTACACAAGAGCCAACTTCAAGCTATTGAATTGCGATACTTGAGGATAAGACAAGAAAAAACCGAGCTCGAACTAAAAAAATATGTCAAACCTGTAACTTAACTGAAAATATCATCGAAGAGCAACTGAGATGGTTTGGTCATGTTTCTTGAATGATAGAAAACAGATTGACGAAAGTCGCAGACGAAGGAAAAAGAGCAAGGAAGACACATTCCGGAAAGACTTTTACAGAAAGGGGAGGAGAGAACGGATGATTCAAGACAAAGATTCCTAGATATCAAGCTCTTTCAAAGGGATCCGTTCACTGCTATGTTGTAAAAGAGTATCTTCATATTCCCATTTTGCTTTCTTCAAATATTTATTAGTGCCTGATATAATAAGAATAAGCAATTGACGAATCATTAGAATGTTTACTATACTATAGCATATGCTAGTTATTTCCAATTTTTTTATTTTATTTTTTTATTGAAATTTACAACTGGAAACATATATACAACTTGTAAATTTGCTAAAGGAATATATAATGTTATGAAAGTACTTGTGAAGAAGCTATCCATTGGTAACACTTCAAAGATAAATTCATTTAGGAGGTCCCTTGGCCATCTTCTTTTCAGACGCATCGGAGGCTTGTTAGGAATTGTATTGAATGAAATGTTACGAACTAGAGGATTTGAGTGACCAAACGGGGGAAATATCTAGTTCGGGCCAAGTCTTCCATAAGAGTAATGTTGAGGTATTTGTGAATATTTTTTTCATGTTACATGATAAGGAGCATTTAGGATTTTACGGAGGATTTTGGATTGTAAGGATTGGATCCGGGAAGAATTCGATGATTTCGTTAAGTCCCAAAGCTCAATACCATATGTACAAATGGGCCTGATGATGGTAATGTAAATGAGTTTTTTTGTAGGATATTATAAGTTTAGAGCGTTTGTCAAGTAATTGTTGTAGTATTCGGAATATATTGGCAGTTTCTTGTCTTTTAAGTCTAGTATGAGGATTCCAGGTAAGGCATTTGTCAAGAAGGAGTCCTAGTTAACGGATCTGTTCGACAGGGATCAGTGGAATATTGTTCAAGGATACGGTAGGACAAGATGTTGTAGGTTAATGGCGAAGGATTTCCAAATTAATTGTGACTATATGTATATCGATGTGATTATAGAATAGTTTATAGCGGAAAGTTATGAATGTTTATCAAGAAACTTTTTCAAATGTTAGTGTTTAATTTAAAATGATCGAACCAAAATGGCAGCTAGAGTAAAACCACCAGTCTCCCCCACCCTTAAGGAAACTTTAAAATGTTTTTATCCCGTTTTCAATCGCTTGGGTTCTTGGTTCATCGATTTCTGTTCCGTTAAGTCAATAAATACACCTAATTTCAAAATATATGTGTGATCTATTTCATTTATTTTTTTTATATTAAAACTGAAGGGTTCCAGTTTTCGGGACCCTCACCCAATTTTTAAATACCTAAAGAATTAAACCTGTCTGCTTCTGAATAAAAGAAGTACAATGATATTGGGCATGGAATGCGTGTTTCTTGCCAAAAACGTAAGACACGTCCTTCCTGGGCGCCACCTGTCCGGTTTTAATCTTCTGCAATTTTTTCTATGTATAAAATTTTATAAATAATGGAAGATGTTAGAATTTGCGAGCGCAGGTTTGTTTCTCGCTTCAAACCATCGCCTTCCTAACGCTTAATATCCTTTAATAACTTCAGTGGGTACTAAAAACTGTGTAAGATGCCGACAACTGAGGGTTTTACCCTATATGTATATAGACTAGTTTAACTTTTTTAAGTTAAACTGAAGTAACTTTAAGTTTAACTGAAAGTGCAAGTTAAAATTCCTGCAAACTTTACCTGAAAACCGCAAGGGTTGGGCTTTGTTTAGGTCCACCTGCCTCGAGGATGATCTAGGTATTCAGCTCAATAGGGTCCCCCTGAGTAGCCAGCTGATCAGTATAAAGGATTGCTACTGTACGGCCAAAAGGGATTGTGGGTCTCTTATGCTATAGATGGTATGCATAGTCGTCTTGGACGTTCCTTTCTCCATAAAAAAAGGACTCCTTTTATCCAGTTTAATTGTAGAAACACTTATATAAAACAATTACGTTATTATAAATTGAAACTGTCCCGTTACCTCTTATACTTACTTGATACTCTATCGATACTTTAACACTATTCCCTCTTAATTCTTAAGAAAAGAAGAAATATCAAATCAGTTGAAAGGAATTCTTTTTCATTGAGTTATATAAAAGTATTCCTTTTCGATTGAACGTTGATGGAGAGTTAAATGAACAACTATGCGTACTTTATGTTTTGAAAAGTTACAATACAATAATTTTTTTGTTACAATTTTAAAACTATAAAATTCAATATATATCGAATTAAGCAGTAATCTTTATTTGTATCGGTACAATAGTATGGATACTCCTGTTAATAAGGATTCGTTTCGATTCTCTTTATTCCTATATTATTTCTTAATAAAAATAAAAATTATTCCATCGTACATTTAATATGGCTTTGACCCATCAATTCTTAAGAAGATTCCAATTTTTTTTTCTGTTCTTCCTGCGTTTAAAACACGCTATAGATTTTTAGATATAAAAGGTACTAGATATCAAAATAGAATTACTGTAGTTTTGTGATTTTTATTAGTCATATACATATTTGTGACAGATTTTATAAAGTCTATATAGAAAAAGTTTATAAAATAATGTTAATTTAAGTATATTTTACATCTTCTATGTCTGCAAGATTAAATCATTTTACAATTAAGAATATTTAAGTAATACTATATATATATATATATATATATATATATATATATATATATATATATATATATATATATATATATATATATATATATATATCTCCTGACTGATCAGCCCAACTATTCTTCTCTTCATTATTCACGACAGTCAACCATTAACCCACAATTATATATATATTTTAGTTTTGTAACCATCTAGGAGTGTTAACATTCCGCTGGAATCCAGGTCGTTCCTATACTCAGCATAAATACTGTTCATCGTTGCTGCATAAATCACTGGATTCAATCGATTAATACCGTTATTTTTAAGAACCTAGCGATACACTGAGAAATGTTGATACAATGAAACGTAAAATAACTTCTCAGTGATTCACTGCCCACTGAGAATAAGTGTCCAAACTAGGTCAGGTTCGTCATGAGTGGCATCCATGAGGAATCCGTTGCGCTTCCAAAATCTCTCCGAAGGTTTCGAAACCCTCACGAACGCCCACCTTACTGGAACGACGAGAACGCAAGCTCCCGCGTCCCTGACATTTACAAGTGTACCTGTCTTATATTTACAACTCACACTTGGTCAGTCGAGCACTTTAACAGCTAATTACCATGCGCATGACCCTCGCTATGAGATACTGACCTGCCTTTAGTGGTACGAGAACTTCCTTATCTGTTGGTTGTGAAAGTGTAAATAATTAAAATTAAACCTCGTAAAAAATATATATATTTCAAGGCATTGAAGTTTCACTAAAAAACTACGGTTAATAATAATAGTTATATTATTATACTTAATAATTTTTTTATTATTATTGAAATTTACAACTGTATTAAATGATAATACAACAAGTAAATATGAAAAAAGTAATATGACATATACTACATCAAGAGAAACTTCCCATTGGTAGCACTCCAATTATATTTCTATATTAGAAGGTACCGAGGCCATCTTCTTTTCAGACGCCTCGGAGGGTTATCAGGGATAGAAGAGGAAGCAAGGTTGGAAACAAGAGGGTTCGGATGGTTCAGAAGTTTATTATGGAAGGATAGGTTTCTGGATTGAGCTAAATCGGAAACATATGGTACATTAAGGTCGTTATAGATGTTTTTATTTGTGACAAAGTAGGGAACGTTGAGGATTTTACGAAGGATTTTGGATTGTAGGGATTGGATACGAGAGGAATTTGAAGGTTTAGTAGAGCCCCAAAGTTCGATCCCATAATTAATAATAAGTGTTAAGTTTATAACGGTTAGGGATGAACCCGGTATTGTTACTTCCTTCAGTAGTTTCACTCCAATCTGTGACCACAAGATCACATGAAACGGTTCGTGCAATGCCGGAGCTAGTCGAGTACCTTTAGTGTCTTTAGACAGATTGGCTTAGGTTACATTTCTAACACAGACAACTACAGAACGGTCTTAGTAGTCCGAATCTCTAGTTATCTTAAACCTCTGGTAATCCGAACAAGTTGACTGATGAAGGATGGAATTGAAATGGCCCTGTTTCTCAATACATATTATTGGTATTGCTTTGTGGAGTAGTATCAAAATCCTATTGTGGTGTCACTAAACGAAAATCACTAAAAAAAGGTGGAAGTGGAATACTTAAGGAATTTTTCTAATTTAATTTTTGCAGTAGATATCACGAGGATGTCCGAATTCCACGGATGTATTAGCTGAAAAGTCAAATTTTTCTTTAATATATATTTTTAAGAATGATGACAAGGCAGATTTTAAAGCCAGTAAAGGTTAGTTTAATAATTTTAAAATCAGGTATGGAATACTTTTTCCTAATAATTTTTTATTCCATTGGAAAATTTCCTGTTTTTGAAGTGAAAACTTCTTTAGGTGTGTTTGCACTTTTTTTTGAGCTGTCAGATCTCCGATGTGTAACGCTCGGGTAAAGTCGGCTGGATTGGACTAATTGAAATGTTTTTGCATATGGATTAAAATATCTCAAAAACTAAAAATCGGACCTTTATTGAGGGAAATTTTCATCATTTTATTCTCTTTGTAGTGAGCTTTTATTAAAAACTGTATCTTAACGGCCGTGTTACAGATGCAAAAAGGAAAATATAGTATCGAAAACCAAATAATAACTAGATTTATGGGAAGATGTGGATTTAAATATCTCAGGAATTAAAACTCGGAGGCCTGCATACTGTAAGCGAGGGAAATGTTCAGCATTTCATCCTCTTTATAATAACCCATTATTTATCATTTATATTTAATATTATAAAGCTCGTCTTGTTGATGTTTTCACTTATATCTTGTGGTCCAAAGCACACACCATAATTTTTTAACTATATATATGTCATAGAAACGCCATGGAGGCCTTTAATGCTTACTTGAAGTGGGCGAAAGGATACAAAATCGGAGAATCTACGTACATTATGTGATTAGATTCAGTAATATTTTTTTTTGTTCATTATCTTGTGCAATTTTTACATCATTTTAAATTAACCCATTGATAATCCGAACAGACATGCAATTAACTTGTTCGATTAACGAAGTATCGGATTATGGCCGCTTAAAATGGAATATGGATATTTATTAGTTTTTAGTTACCTCATTAAATTAATTGTTTTTTCTTCGTGTATTATTTCATGTTTCCATTTATTTAGTAAGGAAGAATTTTATTGGTTCTAGGTATATATATATATATATGGATGTACTTTCTACTCGTTTTGTCTTCTCGCTACCAAACACTGACTGTTTCTCTCCAAATCCACTGTATGTCTAGTTCCCTAATCACATGTCAAGTTAACTCTCAATCACTTTCTGCCCATTATGACGAATTCCTGCAATACTTTACCCAAAACTTTTATCATATCATAGCAATATCCGAAACCTGGCTCAAACCTTATATTCCATCATCTTCAGTATCCTTGCCGAATTACATCCTGCTCCGTCATGACCGGGTAAACCGGACTGGCGGTGGAGTAGCCATGTTTGTCCACAATAGCCTAAAGACCCGAATCCTCGATTGCTCCCCATCTTCCGATCATCCTCATGTAGAATATCTCTTAGTAGAAATTCTCAGTAATATTTCTCCTATCCTTTACGCCGTGGTATATCGCCCTCCTCTCGTGCCATTTGACCCGTCCTTCGAATCAACTCTATTCAACTTCGTTCCCCTCTATCCCAGAATAATTATCTCCGGTGACCTCAATACCAATTTCCTCTCAAATTCCAATGACAAATCCTATTTAGAAAACCTGTTTTTCTCACTTCACCTATTCATCGTTCCTTTTTCCTCCACCCACCACACCAGCAGATCTGACACTTGGCTAGACTTCTACATCATCGACTCAGCACAAAACCTCCTCTCCGCCTCTCAAGTGCCAGTATCCTTTCTTTCATCTCATGATCTGATACAAATAACGTATAATATCCGTACTCCTCCAATCCATCCTCGAACTATCACTTTCCGCCAACTGGATACCCTTACTCGAGAAAAAATATTACCTGATCTAGTAACATTGGATTTAAATGGAATATATCATTGCTCCTCTGTCGACACCATGGTTGATATTCTCACCACCAATCTTCTCAATATACTCAATACCCACGCTCCTCTCAAAACCTCCACTTTCCGTCATCGTCCTGCTCCTTGGATGTGTCAGGAAATTAAGGATCTGCAGAAGAGACGCGACGCTGCACGCAGACGCTTCAGACGGACTAGGCTTGCAGATGATTATCAAATATTCAGAATGCTTCGCAACACGACACAGACAAGGATCCGACAAGCGAAAGCGAACTACTTTCACGAAGCCCTTTCCTCAGCTCCTGATATCAAATCAAAATGGCTTCTACTTCGTAAGCTTTCCCTCTGTGAACCTTTTAGATCCCCTTCCTCAGTTTTCCCAATATCACCTGATGACCTAAACTCCCACTTTATATCGGTTTCCACCTCTTTGATACCATCCCCTTCCGGCTTTTCTCCAGAGGTACCTTTTAACGACAATAATTTTTATTTTTCCGACATTTCTCCCACAGACCTTATTACCGTTATAATGAAATCCCGTTCCAATTCCGTAGGCCCAGATGGCATTCCTATCAAACTAATAAAATTATGTCTCCCTGAAATCCTCCCAGCACTCCTTTTCATCTACAATTTCTCCCTGCAGAATTCAATATTCCCGACCTCTTGGAAAAAAGCCATTGTCCTTCCTTTAAACAAAAAGCCTAATCCATCCTCTCCCGAAGATTTCCGCCCAATATCAATCCTTTCCAATCTTTCTAAACCCCTAGAAAAGTTAGTGCAATCCCAAGTTTCCAACTTCCTTGAACAATCCAACCAACTCGATCCTCTCCAATCTGGCTTCCGTCCTGGCTACTCTACACAATCTGCTCTGATTAAAATTACTAGTGATATCCAGACTGCAATAGATGACAAAAAATTAACCATTCTTATACTTCTTGATTTCTCTAAAGCTTTCGATTCCATTATCCATTCCATCCTTTTCAACAAACTAAAATCATTATCCTTCTCCAAGAGTTCCATCTCTTGGTTCCAGTCTTTCCTCTCACAACGAACCCAAGCAGTTTCCATACCTAATCAACCTCTATCTGCCTACCTTCCTTTATCCTCAGGAGTTGCACAGGGTTCAAGCATGTCTCCTCTTCTTTTCAGTTCTTATATTAATGACCTAAATGATACAATTATCCATTGTTCCCACCACCTTTATGCCGACGATTCTCAAATCTATTTATCCTTTTCTCCCGCTGAGTTATTGGTGGCATTTGCCAAAATTCAAGAAGATTTAGATCGAATTAATGCCTGGGCCAACTTAAATGGATTAAGGCTAAATGCTGCCAAAACTCAGGCCATTCTCATTGGTTCCAAGCCCCTTCTTAGATCCCACACCAACTTTCCCTCACTCTATCTAAACAACCACCCCATCACCTTCTATCCCTTTGTTAAAAATTTAGGCTTTCTCATAGATCAAACCCTTTCCTGGAATCACCATATCTCTCATATATCCCGCCGTGCAATTTCTACCCTCAAACTATTCCATCACTTCCGCCATCTTCTACCCCAAAATACCCGTAGACTCCTAGTTTCCTCTCTCATCTTTCCCCACTTTGACTACAGCTGTGTGGTGTACGATGGCCTCTCGGTGGAACTGCGTGATAGACTCAAAAGACTTATGAATTGCTTCGTAAGATTTGTAATCGGAACCCCGAGACGCTCCCGTGTCTCCCACCACTACACTGAGTTAGGGTGGCTCTTCCCCTCCTTAAGAAGACAATATTTCCTTGGCACTTTCCTTTATCAAATCATTACCGATCATCGTCCTTCTTATGCCTACAACCTTCTCCAATTTAAGTCCTCAATCCATTCACTCACTACAAGATCCCGACCCTCTGACCTATACATCCCTTCTCATAGATCTGCCTCATTCCAAAATTCCTTTATAGCCCGCTCTGTCAACTTTTGGAATTCCCTCCCGATCAAAATTCGACATGCCCCTTCCCTGTACACATTCAAAAACCTCCTATTCCAATTCCTGTTCCAAAAACAGTCAGATACCAGCTAACGATTAATATTATATATGTATTGTGTAGCAATCATATAATCATAACACTTGGTAAGAGATAGTACATGCATTTCCTACTATCGACGTAGGAATTTCAATACATACATTTT